TTCTTCCAAAAGCCTCTGCTGTACTACACTTCATGCGCGGACAAGAAGGTGCCCTCTCCCCACAACTCTTTCGAAGCTTTGCAAGACCGAAATACGGCCCTATTTGGAGGTCCATAACGTCACTGCAATCGAACCTGAGAAGAAACGCAAACCTCCTTGAGAATGCCCACAGGCAGGTAACGGAGGGTTTAGTAGGGACATGGGTCTCGGCCTTTACTGCACCAGTTGTCGTAATTTACGTGAGGAGTTTATAGCAGCCCACAGGTTGCCAAGTAATTCAAGTCAACTTCGGGAGGAATTCTACCGAATGATCACTATGGCAGCTCTTGTGGTAACCCGTAGTGAGCCCCACATAAAAGACAGAAGGTCATGACTTTTCACACTTTGTCCCTCTCTTCTTCTTTGTATCTGGTGTCTGATAAGACTGCTACCGTTTCATTTGTCCACAACTCCAAGAAAAGCCTGGACAGCGTCACAGCGACACGGCTCACGCTTATCCGGCATTGGCGTGGAACAAACCGAAATAAACAACCAAATCTGCTTTACTTTGACACGGTTACTTCCATACCGGCTGCCTTGCACTGCCACCATTATCATGAATCCAACTCTACTTTGTACTTCTCCACAAGACATCTCACCTCTACAGTTACCATAACACCAGTAATGTCATTACTGCTTCTGCCATCATTGCTTATCCTATAGCCTCGCCTGCTCCCCTCTTTGTCCCCGCCTCTCTAAGATTTCGTGCCACTCACTGAGATTTCCTGTTTCGTTGCATTGCTCCCTGCCTTTCTGCAAATGCCTTAATTTCCGGTTTCCTCTCGCCTTACTTCTTTTCCTTTTCCATTTCTCATTACTTCTCATTCATTCTCCGCGATTATCTCTTCATTCTCCTAAGCTTCCTTTTGTGACAACTTCAAACAACCTTTTGGTAACTCCACATCTGAAGAATATATCTGTGTCGGTGTCATATGACAAAGCATACACCTTCCTACAAATTTAACCAACACCCAGATAAGATTACTAGCGCTAAAATGGATGAGTCAGAAAATTTACTGTACTGCAATTAATCAAAGGCCTAGAATCATTCTGAAAGACTTGGAAATGGGAATGGAGGAATCATGTTAGTTCAAATTAGTTACCAAAACAAATATTTTATATTGGGTCGTCCAATTTCAAGTGGCAGTTCAAAATTGTGTACGCTACGCGAAATCTCATGGGTTTGTTGTCCTGATTTATAGATTGTGAAATAATGTAAGCTTGCAGTTTGTATACTTTCGGAAAACAAAAAAACTGCAACCTTACTTTGCTCTACGCTCTTGTATGCGCTTAAAATATATTTACTTCGCAATTTAGTGTAGATAAGCTCTATTTTGTCTCATATGGAAATTTAATGATACTCAGAATAAAGTGGCTTACATGTTTACGCTTTCATAGGTCGCGTCACTTACAGAAATATCTATTTATCTTCATGTTTGCCATTCATAAGCGCGTAGCAATTAGTAAAGACAGTTTGAAATATCGACTTCTTTATTGTGCGCTAAATGGACCTACATAGAATGGATAGTTTTCACCGTCATTTCCTAAAATTCTAATTGCAATGTCTCGTCTTTAATCGTTTTCGCCAGGACGGTAGTTCAGTTTCGAGGCATTTTGTACAGAACCAATGGTCAAAGACATCAGAGAAGTGGTTTACGTCAATGTCCACCTGACCGTCAAAACACATAAGCTGATGCCTACAGTTTATTCTTGAGTTGACGTTATTCACATAAATTTTTTTCTTTCAAAAATGTCGATGGCGCGTTAAGATAGGAACTATCTATCTCCCTAAAATTATAGATAGACAGAAACTTATGTATTCATTTCTACAATTGATTTAAGAGAATTATCTGCCTTATTTGAGAAATCCTCAAGATTTCCAGACCAATATTTTCTCTAGCACCCGGCAGAGTTCTGACAAGTTCTAGCTTACGGATAGGGAATAATGTGGTGGAACATGTTGACCAGTTCACCTACGGAGTTGTGTCAGCCGTTACTCATTGGGTGTTTACATAATCTCAGCTTAGACACAATAAACCTCCCCGTCATACTTTAGCTTACATCATATCTGACGCTAATGAGCTATTTATCCACCTATTTTGGATGAGGATACTAAGCTGCTGCTACACTGCTGTAAGACATGGTCACTGAAAATCAGTGATACGAAAAGATTACAAAATTTTGGCTAAAAATGTTATAGTGATGTTGTCCACCTATGGTAGGACCACCGTTTGAGTGATGATGGTCAGATGTAGGGTTTTAGACAAGGGGGTTAAGTCAGTCAAATAGGTGGTGAATGTCCAGTGACTGAGGTGAATTGGACATGTGGTGCGCCTATCGCGGTGCCACCAACCTCAATGGGCAATGCTAGCCGAGGTATGACTAGGTTGGAAAAAGGTTAAGGGCAACCAGACCAAGATGTGTTACAGGCTCGTTAAGCTTTTGACTGGTGGTCTGAATCTTGTATTCTATTTGGCCAGGACCCTCAAGACAACAGAAACTAATGACTAACGACTATTGGTAGCATGAATTTGGTATAGAAGAGTCCTGAAGAATCAATTTATATTTAAAGGCTGTAAAAATCTTTTCAACCGTATTGGAATTTATGCCTGAAGGATTCAAACAACCTGCTCAATGTCAGGAATGTTTCTACCAACATTATGAAGTCTGTTTGTCACAAGTTAACCCTCAACCCCACTATGAGTTTGTTTATCCTTCTTAATTCCGAAGCTCTTTGAAGGACCTCCACTGTCATGCCTTTAACAAAGTTAGACATGGCTAGTGATGGTGAGCATTCTCGGATGATGTAGTGATAGTTTCTTGGTCATGTGTTGCTGAAGTCTTACTATTGGATTCAGGTTTGGTAAAACCCTTAGATGTTCCAAGATATCCTTATTGAAGCGGTTGTGATGACACCCTTACACTTCAATACTCCCAAGTTTAAAAGAATCATGTTTTGAGGCGACACTATGAGTTTTGAACGGTTTCCTTTAGGGATACTTTTCTATTAACGGTCCAAACAAGTTTGCAATACCAGTTTTATAATGTCAGTTATTTGTAACAAGTACTATTCACCCTTTTGAGTAGTAGCCCAGCATGTCAAGCTTATACCAAAGGATAATCGGTTAAGCTTTGATTCAGATTTCGGGGTCAGAATTATTGTTTAAAGATAGCAGATTGTGAGCCTATAATAGCGTTTTTCAGTAGATCTCTATGCCTGTCTAGTCGTTTCCTGAACGAGTCAAATGATGATGTGGATACCACTCCTTATGGAAGTCGGTTCCTGACGTTAATTACTCGACACGAGAACCGGTGCGCTGCGGATACTATGTTCGTTCTTTGCTTTTGTAGTCTCTTACTATGTCTTTTGAGGTGTCTCTACCTAGTGGGGTGGAAAAGAGAAGATAGATCGGGTCCAGGATCATTTCTTAGAATCCTATTTAGCATGATTAGATCTCCCCTCTGTCTGCGATTAGCTAAAGAGAAGAGGTTCAGCTCCTTGAGTTGACCTCTATGGGTAAGAACAGCAATCTTAGGGGACACACAAGTGGCTTCCCTATAAACTCTTTGTAGAAGGTCTGATTCACCTTTCAGACAAAGATTTGCCACTGAGTTTAGACCTAGAATGGTGAAAATATCACCACTTACTTTTGTAAAATTTCTGCCTAGTGCCCAAAGTGTGCTAAGACTCTGAGCTGCGACCAAATGAAAACGTGCCTTAGTCCTAAATTGTAACTGACTGTGACCCCTAGGTCATTGTGGTTCAGTGCTGAAGGTAGAGAAATCCTATCGGTATTGTAGGTCTTGTCACCTGTGTGTCTCATGTGCATGCTCACGCATCTGCCTGTGTTGAGAAGTATCAGCTAATTCTCTAATCAGGTAAGCAGTCTCTTTGCGTCTATCTGAAGTACACATATATCCTGTTCATCCATGATTTTCAGCCAGATTTTTACATCATCAGCACAGAGAACTACAGGGAGTTTCGTCATATTAAGCAGCGCATTTTTGTACAGAAAAATGGCAGGGGACCCAGTATTATACCTTGCGGTACTTCACTCCCTACCGACTTCCGAGTAGAGAGGGGAGAATTCGTCCCCACTGTCTTTCCGCTGAAAACAAGGAACCCTCTGGTCCATGCAAGTTGATTTGCACTGATCCCGAAACTTTCCAGTTTCTCGAGCAACCTGGAATGAGATACATTTTCGAAGACCTTACTAAAGTCTATGAAAATGATGTCTACACTTATTCTATCATCCTTAGACTTAACCTAACTTTCTGTGACTGTCAGAAGTTTTGCAGTGTAAGAGAAATTTCTGCAGAAGCTATGCTGCGAATGGACAGAACTATGATAAGCATAGTATTACCATTAGTCTTACAAAATGGGTGACTTGTTTTCAAGGATACGAACCTCTGCCAAGTTGCTTTATTGCAGCAATAGACTTACCTGACACATTTTATAATCTTTACTCGTCTCAGTGAATTTTCTATTTTGTGAATTATTGAACTGATATTTTATCATTTCCTTGTCAGCTCAAATCATAAGAGCAGAAATTCTTTAATTTTTTATCCATATTTTTATTATTTTAATGATTTTTGAGCCTTGATTTAATTCAACATCATGTAACGTTCCAGTCTCACATCCTTGATAATATTGAGATAATCACTGAAAATCGTATGTTTATGCCTCACTGGGGTTCATTTTTCTTAAAGTTTTGATTTTAGCGGTATATAAAATCATCTTTATTTATCACTTGAGTCAATTTCTCCACTACAAAAATTTTTTTTATGTTGCAGCCTTAACTGTTTCGGAGTAAAATTTGTGAAAAGATTCAGAACGTCTTGAAAGTTTGTATCACTTGAAGTGTTACGTTAAGTAGTCGTACAGTCGAATAGCCAGGCAAAACTATCTCTATTCGACGGCTCCATTTTCAATGTAAGTGTGACTTTTATTTGAATTTCAGGGTTCACACATCCAGCGGTGATCAATGTTTTGCTGATCTAGATCCCCTACTAAAGAGGACATCTGAACTGTTATCCAAGATAAAGTAATGTCTTTCTACCGTTAATACTTAGCATAATTCATTAATAATATGTAAATATCATGTATCAATTGGTAATAAATATAATTGGGATGGAATTTTGATTGAACGTTATGAGGCTTACATTATAATAACATAATTGCTTGTCATCATGGAAAAACTGCAAATAAGTTTAGTACGCGAATGCTGATGTTTTCTTGGGGTAGGTACCATAGATGTCACCAGAAGCTTTATTACATGGATATAGTGTTGGCACAGAACTTAACAGGTTGTTTCCGACAGAGGCTTATTTTGAAGCTTAGATTTATGGCATTACTTCCAGTTTTACTCAACATAAATTGGCCTCAAATTCCAGTTTGTCTTACTGCCTAATTACATTGAGATTTTTGGCTGTTATATGGAGTTCATCCAAGATTTCAAACATCTGACAGCTCATCATTTATTTAAAACTTCAGGTTTTGAACTAAGTCGCTTTGAAAAACCAAATCAACGAAACTCGTAACTTAATGAATGAATGAATACATGGTCAAGTCACTTACCCAGTTTAGAGCATTTTTTCTTCCGATGGTAGTAATGGAATGAATTAAAACTCTATTTGATTTGTATCATACCTATAAAAAAAATGTTAAATTTGCATATTTAGGTTCAAGAGAAGGGAGATGTGTCCAAGTCAATCTCCTTAATTACTTTTACTTCCGAAATACACATGGAAGTTGCAATAAATGTGCTAAGTGCTTAGGAAATATGGAAATTTTATAGTTTTATTCTGAGCAACGAGCAACGAGAAATATTGGTGTAAACAAGGTCTTAGCCTCAAAATACTGAATGTGTCGTTATTAGGCATCCTGTTTTTTCTTACGGTCTTATTTTCCTGAGATTTGTTGTTGCTTTATGTTCCTTCGCACAGTTTAGGTCCAAATGGCATGTAACGTTTCCAATTCACGAAGTGTGTTAATATACTATACCATCTATCAACTGACGTGTTTAACAGATCGTTTCCGTAAAACGCCATCTCAGCTACCTAGAAAAATATCGAAGTAGTCCCTTGTATCTGAATCAGTGTCTCTAGGTGCATATCTGAAATTCCGTCCAGTTACAGTTACTTCTCCGTTCTTGAAGATAGTGGAGATGGTAGTAATACCTTTGCGTGAACCCTCATTAAAAGCCTTTGAAGATCCTAACCAATTTTTAGACAAAAGCAGAAGAAGTACTCTGGATGATACTACTGTCTTGCATCACGATATTGCTTATAATCTACATAGAAATGCCAAGTATATCAGGTGTGCCTTTTTAGGCTATGCTGCTGCATTCAATCTCGTCCTATGACCTCTTTTGCTGGAAAAGCCAGCCAAGATGCATAATGAGTCCTGGATAATCAGCTGGCTACATTCCTATTTCTCCGAAAAGGAAAAGTATACCGTTGACAGAGGAAACCGCTCCAGCTCATTGCCTACTGAGGCTGGTGTTCTTAAAAGTGCCGAACTTTGCCCTAGTCTTTCCTCTTTCTTTGTGTATGACTCACCATCTTCAGCTAGTATCAGCTTCATTAAATATGTTGATGACCCAACAGTTTTCATGCCTGTTTCCTCTTCAACAGAATGTTCCCAACTGACTTATTTCTTATATACTGTCAGGCGATGCTGCTCCTTGGAAATAACCTGTGTAAACCACTTAAGTCGTAAGATTTTTGTTCCACTGATGACCATGTTTTAGAAAATGCTACAGGCGTGATTTATCTGGGTGTTTTTCTTCGGACCTATCGTGGTCCTCCTATGTCCTACTAATTTCCAAAGTAATTTTCGGCCTAACTTTCTATGTTAGGAGTCGAATAGTATCTGTATAATCCAGCCTCTTCTCTTGAGTTTTATAACCCCGGGAATCTCGCCTATTTCACCCTGTTATTCCCTATTACTCTTTTCTGAGTTGCTGAAAGGGACCATGCTATACTGCGTAGAATTTTAAACATTATCGGGAGCAATAGCGGCGTACCTCTGAACCTTCTAATTGAAACTGTAAACATCTGGCAGTTATTTTATCAGATGAGCGGGATCGTCTTCACTCAAAGCTCTCTGCTTGTTGGTCGTCAGACAATACCAAGAGCAAGTGTATAAGACTTTATGCACAAAATACTAAACATAATAACCTTATAATACCGCAGTTTGCTCGTCTCTTGTGCGACGAAGTATTATAAATGAACTAACTTATCAACTTTTGTTTTTGAAAGCAAACTAATTAAAGCTTACCCAGTTTGTTATTAACTATGTATCGTTATACAGATTCTAATTGCTAGTGTAATTGTTTACCTAAGTTAACTTTGTCTTAAAAATAAAGTTGTAGATAGAGTAAATATTCTTCTCTTTAGATTTAATTTATAGTTATTTCATTTTATTATGTATACCTATACTCTTCTTTACAGTATTTTCGGAATATCTTTCGGAATAAAGCCTTTATTATAATTGTTATTATTATTGTTACCATTATTATTATTATTATTATTATTATTATTATTATTATTATTATTATTGTAAGGAAGAGTAACAGCCTAGTATACTCAATTTATGTCTCCCTAGCTTCTTACTATGCCTTTAGATGGTTACAAAATCTATTATTCACGTCAGTCAGTAACCTTCACACGTTTACTTGCAGACAGTCTTCAATAAGTTCAAGTGAATTTTTAGAGTATTTCTCAAATCATTTGGGCAGTATTAAAAGTTTCATTATCTACCGTAATCACATATAATGATCATGGAGAGAATAAACACAAGTAAATACTTATCTGAGGACCATATCATTGAAAAATAGATTTTGTAGTTTAGATTCCTCAGTGTTATCAAATAACATTTGTACCATTTCAGCAGTCATCTCTTATGGGGTTTCTGTTTGATTCTAAGGGTTTTAGGTTCTGAATTACTCAGTATTTAAATAAAACTCTGTATAACTGTATGCTGGTTGCTTTTATTAATTAAAGTTTCATTTCATCTTGGACGTATAACTTTACTTGTGCACAAGCAGAAATGAAGGCATCTTATCTAGTTATCACCACTCACTTCGTCAGTCTCACCAGCATCTTGATCAGAATCTTATCCAAGGTGAGCAAGATACATTAGAACGTGATCCCAAAAGGTTGGGGAATATCAGCTCACTTCATCCGGATATCAGTAATTCGCTGATTGAAAAATCCTGTATTCATAAGCATCAAAATGGGCTCACCGTGCCAGAAAATCAAACGCTATTAACAACGGTCAAAGGCCGGATACCAATTCATGTCCCATCTTTGAACCCAGAGGAATATTATGTGCGTACCGAGGGGAATCTGCGTGATCATCCCCTGAAAATCGATAAAATAAGCTTGGAATTAAAACAAGCAAATGATAAGGTGAGTAGTAATTTTTCGGATAAGTATTTTTCGTACATATACTGGCTGAGAGTTTATAGCTGCAAGTTAGTGCTAGTTTAAATTGTGGTAGCTGTATGTAACAAAGAGAAATATGACTCGTAGACATGGTCAAGTGAGTAGTAAGGGGTCGCATTATGCAGGAAAAGGTTGCAGCACTTCAGAAGTGGCATGTTAGTACATCGGTTGAAGTTCGTACAATTCACGAGTCTCCAATAAAGCAAGCATGGCATTGGATAACGAAATTCGAATAAGCTAGACTTATGATGTGGACGGGTGCAGACAAATAGGTATAAATTCTTTTTCATGATCGTCTATCGGTTCAACTGCTCCGTAGGACGAAGACGTCACACACGATACTAAACATACATGTTGTGAAACACTTAAATTCGTTGGAAGGAAAATAGGAATTTGTTGAATTAGTGTGCCATAATTTTTTGATTTCAACAGATAAACAGACTTTCCAAAGAAGGTATCTATCATCTAGGATATTCCTCTTGAATTTTCTAACACCACTTTGAAGTAATTTTTGTACTATATTGGTGCCTAAAAAGTGATTTCGATTGTGTATGTCGATGGCATTCAGAATTATTTTCAATGATTAAGCTTTATTTCTTATCGATAATGGAATACAAATGATCAACTAATTAAGTGTTATTTTTATGTTACTATCAAATAATCTTTATTTGTAGATCAAAAATCTGGAAAAATGTTTATTAGAAAAACAGTCGACAGTTAATGAACTTTTAACTGAACTGGATCATAAAACGGCTTTAGTCAATTCTCTGACATCTGAATCTTCAACAAAAGATATTTTGTTGCGTCAGTTAGATTCAACTTTGGGTCATATGACAAGAAGTTGGAAAGATCACGAAGCCCAACAAGATCTTTCTTTAAAACTAGCTAAGGAATCTGAAAGTCGGAGAATCAAAGAACTTGAAGATCTTAGAAGTCAACATCAATTAGCTCATACACAGTAAGTTGTGTAACAATGATTAACTTTTAATTTTATGAAAGAACTAGTCAACTTTATGTCCCAGAATGTAAATTCATTGTTTACTAGATATGTTGCCACTAAAGAGTAATGGGATCCACTTGGTGCGCTTGGTCGGACATTTTACTAAAGTTTATCATCCAGAAACACAACAACGATGCTTAGGTTTCTATATTTAGTCGTGATTGATTGTTATCAAAAAAACAAGTATGAGTTTTTTTAAAGGAGTACCTCTGTGCAAAATCTATTCAGTCGCTTTAAAAGTAGTTGATGTTCCGTCGTAGAATGTCACGACAGCATACTAGCATCAAATTTTATGAAATACATCTACAGATAAATTGTTTGCCGCGACAGTTCCGCCAATTGTTGCCTACTAATAAGCTTCTTTCAAATCATCAAAATCATCAAGGAATTATAAACGAAATACATTTGTAAAATGCTAGTGAAGTAGGAAAATAGATTTCTGACGGTTCGCGACTTCGTGGAAATCGCTTCATAAGAGAATAAAACCCGTACAAGTTATCGATTGTTTAAATAGTAAATGGTGACGGATCAGGTCAGATTGTCTGTACATGATAAAAATAAGAACACAAATGTCATTAGCGGTGTTGCTGATGGATTCCACTATCCATCATTATCATATAATTAAAAAACACAGGCAATGTCGAGGCATCTGCGCAGGAGCCCATATGCCAATAGAGACCGATCAATTCGGTCCCATCAACAAAGGGATAATATATGCAACAACACTAAAACTATACCCGTCGCATAAGAAATGGCTGTCGTAGCCCGGTGGTCTAGTGGATAATGCTCTAGCGTCTAATGAGATCGGTCCCGAGTTCCAATCCCGGTGGGAATAACACTCACTGGGAGGCAGGCACATCCAGCTGACGAGTCCCAAATAGGAAGAAACGCCCATCCTGGATTCCACTACTAGCCACTATCTGTCATTAATAAATATCATTGTTACGTTTATCAGGAGGCGTGAGTGACTTTAAAGGCCATCCTAACAACCGCTGAAATGACCAATCAAGCTTTGATATTTCGTCTGGAAAAGTACTTTTCCACAAATGCATTCAAATTTGTCTCTGTTATCCATTATTAGTCTGGAACTCAAGGTGAAGTGATTATGTGCACATATGACTGGGTGTGAAAGAGTAAGAACAATACTATGGATGACTAATTCAGTTTGTTTGTGTATGCACTTTTGTTCTGATCATTGTATGCGATGTGTTGTTTTTGCAAATATTGTCCATGTTGGTTGGATAGCTGAGCTTTCCTTTTTGCTGAGTGCATTAGGATTCAATATAATGTGAAGTGCCTCAGCTATCCTTCTTTCTTTGAAGTTTGAGAAACCTTTTTGAATAATGCTAATATTTTCAATATCGATTTTATGACTGGTTGAACTGTAACTGCAGACTTGATTTGTCAATCCTCTAATTCTATAGGATTATTGTCGTTGTATGTAGAAGAATCTTAAGAAAGCACCCAGTTAGAACCTTTTACAAGACAACCAAGGCACTTAAGAATGCTCTAGTCTACTTAAAAGATAAAATCATTTTCACCTCCATGCACATTTGTCTCTGTAAATCAGGCCATGTCGACTGTAATGCCTATTATATTGGAGGATCATTCAGTAAGATCCTCATTCGGGTTACACAAAACGACCGCCAAGTAATCCTGTGTTTAATGTTTGATGCTTAGTAACTTGAATATTATAGCTGCTTCCCTTTATATTTATAAATTTCAACAAAACAATAAGAAGGCTTAATTTGATTGAATCGTGTGAAGTATTTGCACAACACATCTCGAATAATCTGATCACACACGTACTTGTCATAGGCATTTATGTGAAATGTAGTTTTAGGTTTATGGGGATTTTATTCATCATAGACTGACATAAGTTTGAGAATCACTGAAAACCTTGGAGCACTGGACAGCTGTTCCATTCTAGTATAAGACTCCTAGGAAGGATGCCTCTACGACTCACCCCCCCCCCGGGGATCGAACTCAGACCCTTAGTTTATAAAGCAATAAGGGGGTAGAATATGACGAGAGAACAAGTAGGAAAACTAACTTGAAGGTCAAAAGGATAATCAAAATCAACTGGGAGAAAATGATAGTACATCAAAGTTGCTTTCAGATCATAATTCACCAACTAAGGTTTAATGTGGTAACAAATTTTTATTAACGCATTAAGGCGGCTTAAACTTGTCATTACTTCCTTTGCTGTCAATGTGTAGATCACTAACATACAAGCTTGCTCAGTTGCCAGTGGAAATTCTGGACCCAACTAAGGTGCAACTCTTTAAGTACACCTTAAAATGCACATCTGAAGTGATCAAATCCCTTGATGGCCTCGACATAAAAAATAAAATTTTGTTCGTTTGACGTACACCCCCATTTGCTAATGTCCATTTGATTGACACAATTGAAGTTTTACATGATTATATTTTTGTGCATAATTTTTCAATACCTATTGCTCTTCCTCACTTAAAAGAGCTACTACTTTTATGTACAAGCTACATCAAATCTGCATTACAGCGTGAAAATTCCCGTTAGACTGATGGTGTTGCCTTGGGAAGCCCTCTTAGGCCCCCTTTCAACAGACAGATTTATGTCACATACGGAAAAATTGGCCGAGGACCTACGTGAAAAGCCGATTTATATCGAAAATATATTGATGATATCTTAATTACATGTGATAATCTAAGGTCACTGGAATTCAGTTCTAAACCAATTAAATCAAGCATAGAACAGCATATCCTTAATATGGTTACAAGAGGAAGATGATTACTTGTCTTTCTTAAACATGCTAATTACTCTACTACAGAATGGACCTATAAACGATCTGTTTACAGAAAACGTATATGGACTGGGTAATATTTGTATCAGCCTTTGCCTAGCTCAGAACAAGTGAGCCTTTTCCGGGTGTTTATTCAATAGAATTCAGCGAATAAGCACAGACGATACTTTGAAAGACGAGACAACATATTGTTGAAAAATAACTATACATCAAAATTTATTTGTCAGTACAAAGTATCTACAGCCCTGAAACCTGTTCTCCACTTTGTCTCAAGGAAAGACATCTTTATGAAGCTTCCAAACTATGACGACTTTCCTGATGCAATCCTAAAGCAGAGACCAGATCGTTAGAAACCCCCAGCACATACATAGAGAGGATTCGTAAATTCATACAAGTAAGGGCCTCGAAGCTTACTTCATAGTGGCTTACAAAGTGAATGGAATTATTTGAACCCATAAAAGGTGTTAGAAGATATCCAACCTGTTTGACTGAGAATCATATCATTGAGACAGATCAAAGGATTGGCATTTCTACATCCTCTAGACCTATTTACAAAAAATGTTGCAGACGGATCCTTAAATTTATTGAGACCTTAGCTATTAGGAAGTTTAAACCACCTTTATGTGTTCAAAAACAGTTTGTTATTACATCAGACCTTACTTGGGGAATTTATCTCTGAAACCAAGTCCGATGTACTATCATTTTCTCTCTGTTGATTTTCATTGTTATTTTGGCCTTAAGTTTAACTTTCTTACTTAACCTATTCTCATATTCTCACCCTTCGTCTCTTTATACTCTTTCTTGTAAATACATCTGACAAGTGTATGTTCAGATTGTTCCAAGTGTTTTGCACGAAATCAATTGACAATTCAGACAAAACTATGTATTCTTCTAGTTTTGTTGAGTAATATGTACGGAACTAAATTGAACAGCTTTGTCCAAGATCTTTAATCTGGAGCTATTTAAAGACTAGAAGAAAATCTTCGGAGGCCGTTGATGAAAAAAGAATCGGATGTTCTATTCCTAAAACTATATTTAGGTTTGCATGCAGTTTACCTAATATCAAGATCTAAAAATATGTAAATTGGATTATTATCCCGTTATTTCGAATTACGCAATCCAACGAAAGCATGGTTGTCACTAAAGCTAAATTTGAATATTTCTTCCAACTGTCATGTTTACTATTACTGACTGATGACAGAAAAAGATGGTTAATATCCAACCTAACTAAAATCGTCTGTCAATATCTGGTTTCAATGAGAATGAAACAAATATACTTTACATTGACTGGTCACTGGAGAGTAACAAACTCCATGTTGTTTAGTCCAAAATGCTGACCGAATTCTATAGATCATCTCTGCAATGTGGCCACTATACTAGGCAGCTCAGCGTCACGAGGCACTTTGACAGATGTTAGTTGGTTGGAAGCAATCGGCAGGAGACACTGGACAGGGATTGCGTGCTTATTGACACTCGTCAGCAATTCGCATCTGCAAGACTGACAGTAGTGTTATCCCCCCTGAGATCCGAACCCGCCTCAACCAGTGTTGTGGTCAGAGATGCTACTACTAAGCTATTTGGGCTGCGAGTAACCTTCTGTAAAACTGTATTAGATACAGTGATTGGTCACTGAAGGATAACCAACTTCATGTTGTCTAGTCCCGCATACTTCTAATGTATATATAAATGCACCGAAGTGTCTGCAGGAGGCAGAAGATGTACTTATTATGGGATCGGATAACAGTTCTGGAGTGTTCGTTATTAACAAGAATTGTTCAAATCAAATGCGCTGTAGTGCTCAGTGACTTGTCGAGACTGATACCTGAGAAGACGAAAAAGGATGAAATATTAGCATTATAAAAAAGAACCTCACCTGTTAACTAGTTCACTAATTACTAGCCGGTCCTAAGCCCCCACAAAGAGGGAAGGTTGGGTGTAGGGCTAGCAACCCTACCCCGTAAAATAAATCTAACCGCTAAAGAAACTTCAAAGCACAAACGACGTATAAAAATAATAACAAACTGATTCCTCGCTGGAATCGGAGAGGCGAAATGACGCCGGTTGGTGAAAGATTTCGGGAAGCCGAATGGCCGATATGTCTTCCCTTCTCTCAATGAAAGCGAAAGTAAACGTGGGGTAATGGAATGTCCGTACCATGTTTGAACCTAGCAAGGCT